CAGGATTCATGGTAAAGGATAGGTTCTGAAGGGTCTATGGGTGATGGGAGGAGACTTTTCCTTACTGCAAACTTCCTTATTAACAGCAGTAAGTATCTGGGGGTGGTGTTTCAAAGCACCTGCTGTTGTGGGGTAGAGCAGGAAGAGGAGGAGGTCCTGGAGGCCAGTACTGTGGCCGTTTCAGAGCCAATGCATGGAATGCAAGATCACTTTGTGTCTCCTCCCAGGAGGGAAAGTAGAGCCCTCCATAAATGCAGCTGCCCAGGATGGTTGGGTGAATGGAGTATTGTATTTAAGGCCCACTATACATTAACTAGGCCATAACCACCACGTGTGAAGTTGTTAATGGAACGTTTGTTAACTTTCAAGCGACAGATATGTCAATAGTGGTTTGAATATTCATGGTGTGATGAGCTCTGTACTGATGATTGTACATGTGTAACTTTATTATATCCTTCCAGCATTATGAGGGAAATAGGCTCATTGTACAGATGAGTAAATTAAGATTTAAAGGTTAAGTAAGTTCCCCAAGGTCGTGCAGATAGTCATGGCCTGGGGATTCCACACTTTAAACTATCAATAACAATTCTTTTTTAATTTTATTTTAAAGAGGGTAAAATTAAACACAGTGAAACAGAACATAAGAAAGCAATATAAGAGACCCAGATTTCAAAGCAGGACAACTGGAGATTTTCATTATCTAACACTACCTTTTGTTTTCTTCTAACTAGTTGTCCATATCTTCACATAGAGTGAATCATACAAAACATAGTATAAAACTGATCTGAACAGGATGATAAAGGCATTTCAGGTCTTCATGATCAGACAATAAGGAAGTCAACAATGGCTGTCTGTCATAGTGTCTTTCATTCTCTTCAAAATAGCTGTCCATACCTTCACATATGTTGAAATCAAACAAAACAAAACAGACTAAAATCACTCTGAACAAAGAATAATAGTATTACTGGATTTCACATCATGACGCTACAGAATCAGTACTGGGTACTATAGTGTCTCTTTTTCTTCAAAGTGGTTGTTCATTTCATCATTCATTATATAATCAGTTCTCATAAACTGTTTAGAAGTTCCATGCATGCATGGGTCTCTACATGTATATCATTTCTGTATTAGAGGGTAAAACAAAACAAGACAAAACAAATTCCGAGAAAAACATTGTGAAAGTGAAAAAGTCATATAAAACCACAATATCAGGTGATCTACAGTAGTTACTATGACGTCTCTTCAATAGAATTGTCTGTATCATCAGGCATAGTATAATTGAACATAGCAGTACATAATACTATTAATAAAAAAAAAAACATTGGAGACTTCAAAAGCAGTTAATAGTCAAACCAAAATGGGTACCCTAGTAAGTCTTGTCATCTTCAGAGCAGTTGCCTATACTGTCAGATTTGATACTCTAACAGATTTGAATAAAATCAATCAATACAAAACAGTGATCTAACAAACCAGATTCAAATAAGATCAGTCATAATAAGACAGTATAAATTATACAGGGCTTCAGATTAAGTTAACAGGAAATTAAGGATGGTTACTGTAATATATCTTGCTATTTTTGGGATAGCTGTCTGTGTCCTCAAATCTAGTACAAGTAGACAAACTGGAACAGAATATAATCAAACTAAACAGAGCGGTGAGGATAATGTGAATTTTAAATCCTAATACACTCTTAGCAATATCTTCTGCCTTCCTTTTTTAGACAGTTCCTCCCCCTTCACTTGCACAAGGTACATTGTACATTTTGGGTCCCACTAACTCCTAATTTTTTAGATTAGGGGGGCAACCTGCTATTTACCTAAGTGATTCTGACCCTTTTTACCCCAGAGCAAGATCTCAAGTTGTATTCCTTTACCTACAAAAAAGCTTCAAGATTTTCCTTCATTATAGCTGAATAGTTTTCTACTACACAAAAGTATCATGTCTTTCCAACTTACCTGCCAGTGCTGGACGAATTGCCCCTATTTCTCTCTGGTTCCCTGTCACATAGAGTATTGTTTTCTCATATTTGATTTTTGGTCTATAAACCCTCTTTCAGGTTAATTATATTTCTTATACAGAGCATCTTGTTGGACCCTATATCCTGATCTACTCTGCCTGTGTTTCTTTTTGTTAGTGTTTCAAGGCCATCTATGTTAGAGATTATAGCTGACCTTCTCTGCCTCATTTCTGCTATGCTATTTTTCTGCCATTGGTTGTCTACTTTTCTCCTTTATTCTGCTGTCTGCCCCATTTATTGAGGTCTCTCTGCCACTGATCCTGAAATCCTAGTGGTTTCTCTCTCTCTCTCTCTCTCTCTCTCTCTCTCTCTCTCTCTCTCTCTCTCTCTCTCTCTCTCTGGAATGTCCTTCAGTATTTTTTGTGGGGTTGGATTGGTGGTCATGAACTCCCCCGGTTCCTCTTTGTCATAGAAGCATCTTATTTCTCCCTTAATTTTGAGAGACAGTTTTTCAAAGTACATCAATCTGGGTTGGAGGTTATTTTCTTTCAGGGCTTGGAATAGTTTGCTCCAAACTCTTCTTGATTTGATGGTTTGTGTCTGTTGTGATTTTGGTAGATTTTCCTTTAGAGGTGACCTGTTTATTTTCTCTGACAGCTTTTAATATTCTGTTCTTGTGATGCAGCTCTGGGATCTTGATTATTATATGTATGGGTAGCTCTGTTTTGGTTGTAGGTGCCTGGAGTTCTGTATGCCTCATACATCTGAATATCATTTCCTTTTCCTCTGCTTGGGAAGTTTTCCTTAATTATTTCTGTGAATAGTCTTTGTATTTCTTTTGTGTTTACCCCTGCTTCTTCACTCACATTTTTTCTTAAGTTATAGATCCTCTTGTCATCTTCTAGCCTTTGTATTGTTACTGCCTGTTTCCTTGTTACTTTTAAGAGATTTTTCCTTTCACAGTCACCCATTGCAAACCTAACTTCAAATTTTGTTAATCTATCTCTAGTTTCTTTCAGGCAGTTTTGCCAGCTTTAAATGGAGTTTTTAATTTCCTGGTAATCTCTTTGAATGTGTTGCATGTATTCTAGGTTTTTGTTTTTATATTCTTCATTGAAGGTTTCTCTCCTTTATTGATATTCCTCCATTCTTCTGTCTGTGTCTTCTTGAGAAGTGCTTAGCATTCTTTTATTAATCTTCTTATATCTTACTTTACTTGTATTAACATTTCAGTTTTGAGGTTGTGTTTGATGTCACAAAGATATTACTTTATGGCAGCTGATGTCATGTCCAATATTGCATGTTTGCTGCCCTCAATCTCTTCTGTATTTACCTCTGCTAGACTGATGTTCCCTGGGATAAAGGCTAGGGGCTTTTTCTTTCTTCTTTCTCTTGTCATGTTTCTGGTTTCTTCCATACAGATATATGGTGGAGGTCCAAGCCCCTTTCCTTGTTGATTATGGTTCTTTTTTTTTTTTTTTTTTTTTGCCTTTTTCCTTTTTATCAGTACCAGGGATCGAACTCACGACTGCCTGCTTGCAAGGCAGGCGCTTATGCCGCTGAGCTAAATCCCCAGCCCCTTACAGAATGTTTTTTTTTGTATGTTTTTTGTTTTGTTTTGTTTTGTTTTGTTTTGCCTTTTTCCTTTTTATTGAATACTGGAATATTTGAATACTTGGTTTTTTTTTGGTTTTTGGGTTTTTTTTTTTTTTTTTTTGTCTTTTTCATTTCTATCGGTACCGGGGATCGAACTCATGACTGCCTGCTTACAAGGCAGGAGCTTATGCCACCGAGCTAAACCCCCAACCCCCTGATTATGGTTCTTGTGGAGCACTGTGGCTAGGGATTTCTGCCCTCTCCAGCTTGCTGTTGGTCATTGAGGTGCAAGCAGGGGCAGTCAGTGTAGGCTGGCCCTTCCCTCCAAGCCAGTCAACCAGCAGGAGCCTTCACCACATTAGTGTGTGCCGCACAGATGGAACTGGTTTGAGACAACTTTGGGGACAATTTCATCCTTGGCTATTGGGTCCCGGCCAGGGGTGTGACCCAGCCTAAGCAAACCCCACCCATCTTCTCTGGGCAGGGAGCAACCAATTGAAGTCACTGCTGTTCCTTATTCAGGTTCTGCCCAATACCAATACATGCCCAATGCCATTCACCCCTTTACCGCAGGAGGGTCAGATTCTGAGCACTCACCACAAGTGGGTTAGTGCAGGTCTCCACACCCGCTCTGTTCTTCATTGGGCTCACTAATCCCCAAGTTCAGCACAGCTGTGTCTCCTGAGGTGAAAGTGCCACAACTACGAGTCTGAGCTGCCCCAGCAAGAGTGCTGCCACTGCGAGTCTGATGGCTCCTTTACCTTTAGTTTCTTCCTGAGTCAGGAGGATCCATCACCCTCTGTCTAGTCTTCTCTCGGATGCATTATTCCGGCATCTGAGCTTGTCTCTCAGGGAGCCTCCCTATTTCATTGTTTACTAATCCACCATCTTTAGCTCCTCAGCAGTTCTTTCTTATGTTGGGATTACATACACCTCAAGATCCCAAGGCCTTTTCTAGTTCACTTTTTATCATTCTCTTTTTCTTTCTTTAGTATATATTTGCTTTAGTATAAATGTGTTTTTACACATTTTTCCTGGGTATTTCTCTGATTTCTTAAAGTGTATTTAAGTAAAAGCAGAGTTACATTGCTTTGCAAATGAATTCATATTAAATGATCACAGATACAATAAATACAAACAGCCATTAGGACTATGGGGAATACCTTCACAAATCAGTAATTGCTTTTTTTTTTTTTTTTTTTTTTTTTTTTTTTTTTTTTTTTTTGTCTTTTTGAGACAGGGGCTCTATGCAGTTCAGGCTGACCATGAGCTCACTTTGTAGCCTGGGCTGGTCTCAAACTCGCAACAATCCTCCTGCCTCAGCCTCCCGAGTGCTGGGATTACAGGTGTGCGCCACTACACCTGGCTAGTAATTGCATTTTAAATGTTCATCATCTTCTTTCCCACTCCATTTCTATCTAACATTTTGCTTTTTTCTGGCCAAAAGGAAGAAGATTTCTCTCCCCACATCAGCTGTAGTAAGCCTCTGGCTTCGGCATCTTCCCAGCCTTGAAAAAGCAGTGCTACATCTTTTCACAAAGCTGATCTCCAGTGAGAGAAATTGTCTGAGAAGGATCGAATGCTTTATAAAAGATTCATTGCTGGTACGTGGTGGGCTTTGGTGATGAGAAAAGGCCTGAAAAGCGATACAGGGAATTGATTCTTTTAGTTAAGGAAGAAACAGGATGGAAGATAGAGATAAAAAAACATTGGGACCTTAAAAATAATCATGTTTGCATTTTATTTTGAAAATACCTAACATAATGACTTTTCTACATACATGGCTAAGGTTTGAGATTTGCTTGGTTCTTGTGGCTTGTGTCACATGTTTGGACAAAGGCTCTGAGGAGTAGGTTCACCAAAGGAATGCTGAATTGCCAGGTTACCCGGGACTCTCCATAAGATGCTACATCAGTTTCTCTTGCAGCCTGCCTTCTCACCACTGACAGGCTCCGTATGGGGAGGGAGACTGAGCACTGCTCTTCACTTGCCCAGTGTCTTTGCTGAGCATTGAGTGCAGCCCCCAAGGTGCTGGAAGAAGCCAGGACACAAGCTTCTTAGAAATATTTATGTCAACACAAGGAATAAGTTTTTAAGGCTGAAGTTCTTATAGACCAGGGATACCAGCAATCAGGTGACAGAAACATGCACAAAATAAATTCAGCTTTTCACTAGAGAAAAAATAAAATATTCAAGAGAAACAAAACAAAATCCCAGGAAAATGATTAAAGCAACAAAGACAACTCAGATTTCTGTTTTGGGTAAGGCTGTCAGCCTTGCAACCTCCCCTCTTGGCGGCTCCTTCTTCCCTTGGCTCTAGAGCCCAAGGACTTGGCAGTCACTTGGGCCACTGGGCCTCAAAAGCACTGGGCTCCCCAGCAGTGTCAGGGCCAGCTGAGGTGTTGCCCTTCTGCAGAGTCAGCACTCCTTCTTGTAAAATCAGGAACAAAATACCAGTGTACCCACAAAAGAAAAATTTTTAAACGACATGTTCCTCTGGATGATCAAGGTAGCTCACTTCCCCAAATACCCAGTGATGGTTTCACCTCATGGATTATTTCCTCCATAAGGGGAAGGCAGGTCCTTTATCCTTCAATCACATGACAAGCCAGGTAAGGCAGAGATAGTTTCCAAATGAGCTGGTTTATTGAAAGACACACAAAACCAGAATACATAGAAATAAGCAAAAAATATATGAAAATAGATTTTTTTAAAAGCTGAGTGTGGTGGCAACATGCCTATAAAGCCAGCTACTTGGGAAGCTGAAGCAGGAGGACCACATGAGCCCAGGAGTTCAAGGCCAGCTTGGGCAACATAGCAAGGCCTTGTCCACTCTCTTTCCCCCTAAAAAAATGAAACAATGTTAGTCTAACACAGAGTGCTAATAATGCTCCAGATATTATATGTGTGTGGAAGAAGTGACCTGAGAGATCCATCACTTCAAGGCAACACTGGGACTGGTCCACATCGCCCTTCATTTCCTTAGCCGTGAAGTAAAACACCCATTAACTTAGGCAGGGCCTCTGGCTGCCACTGCCTTTCACAGTGGAAACTTGCAGGGGATACAACCCCAGGAGCAGCCCATGGGCAGAGTTTTCATACTCAGCTTCTGGGTGGAAGCATGGAGGGAAGGGTCCTGGACACCAGCTGTCCTGCTTGCCTGCTTGTGTGTCAGTGCACAGCTGCACGGTGGCTCTCAGCCACCCCCTGGGTTCTACCACAACTTGTGTTACAAGGGAAAGCCCAGAAGGGAAAGCTTGGTCACATTAATCACCGTTAAAAGACTAGTTTAGTTAGATTCAGAAGAAACCACACAGCCAAACATGCCACATGGTGCAGCTGCTGTGGTCCCCTAGTGTCTCTTCCCCAGGGTCCTTGGGACTCCACCATGTCTTCCTGTTTGCTTTGGTCACTCATTGGCACTTGGCACAAAAAAGTCTTCTCACAGTAAGGATGGAAACTGAGTTCAGGAGCAGTGCAGCCCAGCCTGATCTCACATCAGACACCAGGAATCCCAGGAGGGGGTGTCTATCTACCTGGCCACTGGTCAAGGCTGGGGAAGACCCTGGCTGGCTGGGCCACTCATCCCTGATTCCCACAGCCACCTCCCAGCTACTCTGATTGCTGATTTTGCTGGAGCCACCTATTTCTTAAGTGAAAGCTGCATATGGAACCATGATGGAACCAGTTGCCTCTCCACCGGTTTCTTGCCGTCTAGGCCTGCTTCCCTTGCATGTCCCAGCGCCTCTCTGCCTTTGTGGCCAGGCTTCCCTGCAGAGATAGAAAGCCACAGTGTCAGGAACAGCCAGCACTTCACCTGCGCTGAGGACACTCAATGGCAGCCCAGATGACCCAGATGACTTCAAAGTTTGGTGTTTGATAGGAAAAATGAAAGGAAGATAGGTATATGTTAGGACTGGGAGAGCCTAAAGGGAATATTTTTTAATAGACAATTAGCTTGACTTCACCATTTTTGAGAGTTGCATATTGAGGCAAGAAGAATGTGTCTTATTTAAAAATTATTACAGCATAATTCAAAATAAAAATTTCAGAAGCTTTCTGATAGCTCTTTTCTAGGCTGTATATGGCAGTAAATTTCTTCGTTTCTAACTTAAATGTGAATGATACATTTACCTTTTTCCCTGATGGTTTTTCAGTGGTAAAATAGAGTAATTGGGCTCTTTGTGTCCAGGGTATACTTAGTAGACTTTCCTTAAATCTTCTCTCAGTGGGAAACTACAGCCCCATGATTTCTGTGCTGCCTTTCGTCAATCCTTGTGGGCTTTCCTCTGAACCTTCTCCACATCCTTTTTAGCTGAGGACCCCGGACCTAAGCAGCGCCTCAAAACAAACACAGCCAAGGAGAAGGAGGAAGCAGCCCCTCTCCTTGGACATTGTGTCGTACAGTCCTCACTTTCCATAACCTCCCCGCCATCAGACAGCTTCCAAGTCAGTTCTTCTTTCTTATCAGGAGCATGTGTGGAGAGATTCAGAGCTTTTATTATGGTTAGAGGGGGATTCTAAAGGGTGTTATTTGGCTTAATTTATTGTGGCATTGACAAGATGTGACCTCTCTCTGCCTCTTGTTTCAAGGAGGTAATTACAGCACTGACGGTGACTGGAAGCCCCGGTCAGCGTGGGCTGCACTCCTCCAGCACCCAGGGGCCACGATGCAGGGAGCAGCAGGCTAAGTGATTGCATGGTAACCTGAAGAACCTGCTTCCTAATTGCATCATCTGATTCATTTATCGCAGTTTAGCATCTCGGTGTGGTGACAGCCCTGAACAGAAGTATCAGAGAGATCTCTAAGGCCCAGCGCAAGAACCCTGTGCTTTGCTGCAGAGGGAATCTGATGCCTATTACATTAGAGTTGGATTCTGAGAGCAATTAAAGTGTGATGGTCTACGTAACTTGTGTTTTATATGAAACACTGTTAATTATATTTCCATCTCTTGGGACTATCCAGAATGAGTCCTGGAAATTCTAAGGTTACCAAAACGTAGCAAAAACAAAAGATAAAAGTATCATACAAAGGGAAATGACCTCTCCAAATGTGCCTTGGCCTTTCAGGGACTTCAGGGACCTGGTATTTTCCATTAAGACTATGGCTAATAAAAGATCAGTGTAGTATCACCTGAATTCTAAATGCATGTATGTATGTTCTAAAATTTTGAATGTGTCAAATATGTTTTCAAAACCTATGTACTTTTGAAGTTCAACCTTTGGCTCTCATGGACTGGACTATCTTCAAGTACATGGCTGCCTGCCGCAGTTGGTGTCCCCCAAATAAATTGAGGTATTAACCCCCGTTTGTCATTTGCTGTGCAGATGGAAACGTCTCAGAAACAGATGGTTCTGTGTTTCCCCTGACAGCACAGGCACTGGAAGACCATAATCCGCAGCCTCAGGCCTGACCTTACAGACTGATGTCACTGAAAGCAGCGAAAGCCATTTGCTAATTATGCAACTTTCTTGGCACCAGTTGATTTCCCAAGGCAGGCCATGCATCAGAAGGGTGCTATATTTTCCAGCTACAATTCTGTTTGCAGAGCCCAGAAAGCTATTGTTTGGACTGCACATTTGAATGAGAAGGGCTGGCTGGGTGGCAGGATGGCCCTGAACTTGGCTGTGGCAGTGCTGTGTGCCAGGCTGGGGCTCCCTTGTTCCCACGCCCTCCCTCATGCCTTGGTGGGCTGACCCCACCCGCCTGCTGCAGCCACCATAGCTGATGGACGGCTCTCTGAGGCCCATCTGCCTGCGAAGGGAGAGGGGCACAAGGGAGGAGGACCACGCCAGGGTGAGGTGCCGAGGGTACAGGCTTGGGTTTGTTTTTGCTTTATCCAGAATTTAAATCAGAGGATATTCATGGATTCTACTACTTGAAAGTTTTCATTCTCCATAAAAAGCTTTTTCTTTTTTTGATCTAATAAAAGCATCCAGATACCTCAGTGTACTTCTCATCATGAGCTAGAAGGCGTTCTGTTCTCCAGATAATGATCTTCAAAAAGAAAAAAACAAACTCCCCAGAAAATCCCTGTGCACATTCCCATTCTATAGCGTTAACTCCCCATCCCAGATGGTGTCAGCAGTTTCCGTGTCAATAGCTTTTCACTCACGTTCTAGGGTTTTCTTTTCCTTTTTTTTTTTTTTCTGACTTTTTGAGACAAGATCTCACTATACAGTTCTGGCTGGCCTTGGGCTCATTTTGTAGCCCAAGCTGGTCTTAAACTTGCTAACACTTCTGCCTCAGCCTCCCGAGTGCTGAGATTACAGTTCCCATTTTTTCATTAGCAGTCTTCTTAGAATTTCTTTTTTATGCTTTTTAATGTGATGCTTATAATTTAATATGAGTTGAAGTAGATGATTTAGCAGTGGTCAAGCAGAAAAATGTGACTGAAAGCTATAGGCTCTGCAGCACAGACAGCTGCTTCACTTTCCAGTGTCCACCTCAGGAGGACACCAGATGCCCCAGCATTGCCTCATGCAAAGCCAGATTGCAAGATAGGTTTTTACTGTTGAGGATGCAGGACTTTGCTGCCAATCAGAGGTTGGTTGGGAGTAGGGGTCTGGGTGGGCAGAAAATAAGCAAACAAAAGCCAAACAACAGTGAATGTGGGGAGTCATTGCCACCCAGGGGCTAAGTTGAGTAGCAGTGGAGGCTGAGAGCTTTCTTCCTTTTGCTGCTCCACAAGTGAAGGGGTTAGAGGCCTTGGGTCAAGACAGGGACTGGATTTGGGAGAAGGGGTTTTGTCTAGCACCCACCATGGCACCCACCATGTGAACCCCCTCTCCTGTGTCCTAACACCCAGAGAGAGTGTGTAAATTTAAAATACAAAAGTACATTTGGTACTTGTTAAGATTTTAAGCTCAGAAATGACAGATTTATCACTAATTAAACAATAATTGCATTATGGAGCACTGAAAAAAATTGCTTATAATATAAACAACATCTGGTAAAGTTTAAAAGAAACAATAATTCTTCCAAGATTAAATTTGTTGCAAGAAACTTGAATATTTTAAAGCAAAATAGAACCCTAAAATATAGAAGGGATATTTACACTTTTGCATTTAGTATTTTGAAAGCAGAAAATAAGAAAATCGCATAATGAAAAATACATATTTATAAAGATGCATTATTTTTCATGTGAAGAATTTTTAGTAGGTTTTTTTAAAAATCATATAACTCAATAGGGAATTTACTGTTGAAGTGGGTCTTTTTCTTTTGGTTTCTGTTTATGGTTTTGTTTTGTGGTTGTTTTTTTTTTTTTTTTTTTTTAAAGATAGGGTCTTGCTATGCAGTTCAGGCTGGCCTTGAACTTGCAGCAGTCCTATCTCAGCCTCCCAAGTGCTGGGATTACAGGCCTGCATCACCATGCCCCAAATTGTTGAGGTGGGTTTAAAAGGAGACTCCTCTTCCTCTTCTTCTCCTTCTCCTTCTTTCTTCTTTCTTCTTCCTTTTTTTTTTTTTTTTTTTTTTTTTTTTAAAATGTCTTTTTGAGATACAGTCTTGCAACACAGTTCAGGCTGGCCTTGAGCTTACTTTGTAGCCCAGGCTGGTCTCGAACTTGCAACGAGCCTCCTTCCTCAGCCTCCCAAGTACTGGGATTACAGATGTGTACCACCATGCCCAGCAAGGAGACTCTGCTTTAAACAGAATTTTTTGTGATGAGTGTAATCACCTTTTAATTTATACAGGTACATCAGCAAGAAGGGCTTCCCTTTGGCAGAAGAGGGGTTTGGGAGACCTGGCTGTGCTCAGGACAGGGCGGACTGGCTAGTGGGTAAATTGGAGGGAAAGCTTCAGCTGATTTTTTTCAAAGGAGTATTTCCTGCATTGAACACTAAAATAGCCATGAAGAGAGAATTGATTCCAAGCTTACTAAATTTCATCATTTTCTCACTCATTTGCCTCTTTTGTCTTAATTGTAAAAGGAAGTAAGTCTATAAAGTTTCAGATGAATAAGTTTTCAGGATTTCCCTTCTTTTCTCTTTTCCTAACTTTTGAATAGTCTTCTTCCCATACATACACACAATCCAAAGACAATAGGTAGTAAGAATTACTTGTTGCTAAGATTTTTTCTGTATCCTCTGGTCTCCACCTGGGTACCAGGGACTGAACCCAGATTCTTATGCACATTAAGCAAGTACTCTACCACTGAGCTATATCCTAAGCCTCTTTGTTTTTTGTGTTTTTATGTTTGAAATAGGATCTTAGTTGCCCAAACTGGCCTTGAATTTTCAGGCCTCCTGCAGGTGGCAAGTGGCTTGTGATAATCATTAACAAGTTGGGATGAAAGTGGCTGATTAAACAAATATCAGGGCCCAAGCTAAACAATCAGTGCTATTTTACAATTCATGCTGCCGAATGGCAAACTGGCCTTGCAGGCACCTCTTCCCCCAAACACAGAAAGAGCATTGTTATTGTGCATTTCCTCTGCATTGATTTTGGTCTTCTCTGGTTTTATTGAGGGATGGGAATGGGCTGCCCTCCTAGGCAGAGAGGGGTAAACACTGCAGTTCCAAGTACCTGTGGTAGCTGATTGACAGTGAGTAGGCAGAGTGGTGGGAAGGTATCTTATCAGCCACAGGATATGCACACTCTACAGAACAGCCTGGTCCTGAGGAGAGAAGGCTAAGAGCAACTCTCCATCACAGTCATCTGCTTGCTTCCATGTTTAGTGAAAGACAAACACAGCTCATTGATGGCCTCCTGGTGACATAGTTCCCTTACTTGAAATGATCTACCTGAGAATCATTAGGCCAGATGGAGAAGAGAGCTTGAGAAGGAGAATGTTTTGGTGGAATGGAGAAAAACAGATGAGCAGATAAAACCCAAGAAAGCTTTTCATTCACCATTTTTGTAGGAAAAATAATCTTGCAGATTGTGGGCTTCAGAACTGGAGTCCAGCCTTGGGTTGCAGAGTGACCTGCGGTGTGTTGCCAGCGTGTCCCACTAGACACATAAAACAGGATACAGAGAGGTTAAATGTTGCCTTATCACTCACAGGGATGATGGAGAGACCAAGGGGGAGGTATGGCTTCTAGAGAAGCACACATTTAAACTGTGATTTGGTCTGGAAGATTCTTTTGATAAGAAAAGCAGTTTAAGTGGGCTTTTGTGGTTTGACACACGCCTCACCTGGGAGTACTCTGATGCTCACTGACTCTGAAATTACATGCTCAGGAAGCCTAGTCTCATTTTTAAAAACCATCACTGAAGCATGCAGATGGCAGAGAACAGCCTGGATATCCTGTCCTCTTCCCTGATATAAAAGCAAAGACAGGTTGTGGAACCAGGCTGAGAGGAGTAACCAGTGGTCTGAAATACTTGGAAAGAGTGAAGTCTAAGTGGAGGGTCCATCTGTATGAGGAGAACAGGCAGATTCTGCACAGCTTGGAGATATCTGAAACATCTCATTGAGATGTTTTGCTGGAAAACACCATGTAAGAGAAAAGCATGTCCAAGCTCTTATTCTAGCTTGAAAGCATAAGAATTCCTGTACTTCCTTCCCACTGTGGTTCTGGTGGCAGCCCCGGTCTGCCTCTTGGGTCCTCCTTGTCTTTGCTGTTTAGAGTGATTCTCAGTAGCACCAAACCTGCAAAGAGGGTCTAAGGGCCATTTAGAATTGTTTCATTGTACCATTTCCAATTCTGATCTTATTTTCTATCAGTTTGTTTTCAGGCCCTGAGTGTCTGTCTGCCTGTGGGCACATAGCACGGCTGTTGGAAATTAAACACTCTTCTAGAGAAATTTGGAAAAACTGAGTTCTGGCAAATTTAGCTGAACCGTATTTCTTTAAGACTTGCAATATTCTTTACCCTTGTTGATTTTTTCCACATTATGAAAAATTGAAACTTTATGATAGTTTCTGGGCATGTATCCAGTAACCTCTTAATAACTGTTTATTATTTACAGTGAGGATTAGAAGCCGAAAGATTAATTGGCTGGTTGAGATGAAAGCCAAGAAGTGACCTGCCTTTGCTCTGTTGCATTGCTTTTTTAAGTAGACAATATGTTTGTGAGAATTTGAAGTTGGTTGCTTTTAGATAAAAATGCACATCCATGGAAGGTTAGAGGTCACGGATCACGCTATTAAAGAGTCAAATATTTAAACCTGCAAATTTACGAATCTCTCTCCTTCCCATAGGAAAGCCATCACCCCATCAAATATTTGAACAAGCAATGTTGCTCTTGCCTGGAGCCTTCTGTTGCCTGAAGTGGCAGCCTAAAGACACTAGATGGCGCACACTCAATGTCCCAAGTTGCCATACCAGGCACGGAAAAACAAAAAAGCAGGAAGCCACCAGGGTAGCATTGTGATTTCTTGAGGAATGTCCCGACAGCTGTAGAAGCAGACAGGCCTTATCTTCTTTTTTCTTGTTGATAGAGACTTTAAAGGATGTTTCACAAAGCTGTATCACCTGTACTATAACTGAAGAAAGTCTCTTTAGAGCTAACCCACTAACATTTGCATGCTACCATAGAATACCTGTCTTATGATGTGGGCATCTGCACCACCTCTTGCTTTAAGCTCTGGCCAAAAAATAGGAAACATGTTCAGGCCCTTCGAGGCCCCTGCCTGGATCACAGGAGGTAAGCATCTGTAGATTTCAAAAATAGTCTCAGGACAGGCTAGATATCTTTCATCATTCAGGATAATGTGTGATCATTTTTTTCATTAAAGTTCTTCCTACTAAACAATTGGTAGTGTGCTAAATATTACATTATTCAGCCCAGCATGGGAGGGGATACTGGTGTCTGCAGCAATAATTCTAAGTGGTAATGGACCCAGTGCCCAATAACCAGGAGTAAAAATGAGACGTAGGCCTCACTTTGAGGTACTTCAGACCACTTGAGGAGGTCAGACACAGGGACACACTTAAGAGAAATTAGTGACACAGGTATGCTCTCTGTCTTCACGCTGGTGTATTGGTAGAAGAATTGGCCATTACATTTTTTTTTCTGGATAATACAGGTTTATTTTGAAAAATGTGAGGCATCCAGGAGTCCAAAGAAAACCACTATTTGCATGTTTATCTGCTCCACATGCCCATATCTATTGTTCTTTTTCAAAGAAATGGGCCCATTCTGTACGTAGCAGTCTCAAACACTTTACCTGCCTGATGATTCCAAACTCCTATGACACATCTTTAATGTTTCACTTTCGTCTGATTTTTCTGTTTTACAGCCTCAAGCAGCCTGCCACCCCGCCATATTTAGAGTTGTTGATGAAATGTTCAGGTAAATGTTACGCTGTTTTTGCTTGTAGTTGATCTAAAAATGCTCAGCTTCCAAACAGGCATTTTAAAAATCTGTAATAGCCTCTGGCTGCACCATGAAGAAGTTAGAATTTCTTATTGCTTCTTATCCTACTGAACTTTTTGTTAATTAGCAGTAGAAACTCAAAATTAATATATATTTAAAAGCATGTGCCTAAAGATTAAGATGACTTTTTTCTTTAACCTTTTAAAATTCTAATAATAATGCAGAGAAGCAGAGTCAAATTACATATTTTTATCATGAAATAGGATTTTTCTCAACTCAGAATAAAGCATAGCAATATACTCCCTTCACCACATGAGGGCTGACTGATCTTTGTAAAAGATTTTCAAGCTAAAGAAGCCAAGAAGCACTGAACCATCCTTAATAGAGTTCTTCTGAAAAACAGTGAACCATGCATATCTTGCAGTGTGTTAGTTTTTATTTCGACAGCATGCGTCCTTCCTGGGTATTGTGTTGGATTCACAGTGTGTAAGAAGCAAGGTAGTCCCTGCATGCTAGGTTAGGTAATGGCCAGCAGTTCCTGGGGTGTCAGCCATGGAGTCCTACTACAGATCCCTTGGAGCCTTTCAGGGGCACTGGGTGGGGACCTACCCACAGCAGGTCTGAGGAAAGGAATTTATATAACAAGGACTGACTCACCACCTGGGACCTTCTTGAAACCAATCTTAAATAAGCCACTTGTAAATGACCACAGAAATGAGAGGGTAGGTGTGGTTTTTTAAGTTAAAGCTAGCCAAGTTTGAGTTGGCTTTTTTACTTAAACAACATAAAAGTTAATTGTATGAAAATGCATAGAAACCAAGCCAGGTACACCTGGATTCTCCAGATCTATGCTAGCAAGTTTGAACCATTTTACCCTTCCAAGCAGCTCTGTCACTGCTTACAAAAGCAAAATGTATGCCAGTGTTATGTGTGCTGACCTATAGTACATAGAGGCTGTGAAAAGTGTGCAGGCCTGTGTCAAAGGTTATGCGGTACTTAAGGATTCAAGAACAGAGAGGCAGAGAGAGAGCTCTGAGCTCTGTACATTGCAATTTAAAGAAAATATTTAGAAAAGGGGGTAACAGATTCTTTCTGCCTTCACTGCTGAAGGTTAAGGCACAAAAAGTGGTTCCATTCTTCCTTTCATTCCAGGTCAGGTTGGTGGTTTGCCATCTTAATCATTCACTGTGCTGTGCTCTGGTTTGGTGTTGTTCAGGTTTGCACTCATGGAAACCGATGGAGCCCTAGAAGTATTAGCTGCTGTTCAAGTATTTACACGCTGCTTTGTGGAAGCTCTGGAAAAAGAAAACAAGCAGGTTTGTTGTATTGCATGTATTACTCATGAACCTGAGAGAAAAAGAGTCTGTTCAGCGTGTTTGGCTAATCACTTGAAACTAACATTTTCAGAAATCTTGTTTGGTCTATTCGTTTGTTTTGTTTTCTGTGGTCCTGGGGATTGTACCCAGGCCCTTATGCTTGCTAAGTACACACACAATCATTGGACTTCAGCCTTAGCCCTGTGTTTAGAAATTTTGGCAGATTATTTTGCAAAGAAAGTTTCCAAATGAATTCCTAGCAAATATGAAACCATTTTAATTGAAAATGAGTCAGGGTCTTTCCTGTCTGCCCTGGGTCCTGGTGCTTAGAAGATTCCGTCTACTGCTGTATCTGAGTTCTTTTGTACCTGTGTGTGTTGACCTGGAGCTGATCCTTCTCTCTTACATTACACTCTCTGCCTCTCTGGCTGACCAGGGAGAGGCATCCTGCAGTCTGACTGCGATGTGCCAAGTGGAAGATGCTATTATCACAGAGCTGTACTGGGCCCTTTACTTAGCATCTTCATTCCTATCAGAGGCCCAACCTGAATGGATTGAGGCTAGAAAGAAGATGGGTGAACAAGGACAGGGAAATAGCTGAGTAACTGTAGAGGAGGAGCAAAGTACAGAAGGACCAAGCGGTGTGTCTCATGCCATGAGCAAAGCAGGTATCTTAGTCACTTTCTCATTGCTGGGACAAAATATACAACACCTACAACTGCAAGGAAGACAGGTTTATCTGGGCTCATCGCTCATGGGCGACAGCGGGGCATAGCAGAGGACAACATGCTTCATCCTTTGATGGCCAGGATGCAAAGAGAGAAGGGAGGAGCCAGGGACAGCAATAGACTTCTAGGCCACACCCCCAGTGGGCCGCCTCCAACCAGGCCCTACCTCCTAGCATCACTCTCAGTATGAACTTGCCAACAGAGGAATCCGCCAATGAGGAAAGTGCCCCTGTCATCCAGTCACCTTTCAATAGATTGAGTGACATTATAGATCTAAACTACACCAGCAGAGGACTCCAGGGCAACAGGTACCAAAGCCCATTGACTGAGTGACTGTGTGGAACATTAACTTTTTTCCCAGAGAGCTTTCACCTCTGGACATTGTAATTGGCCTTTGTTTCTGAGTCCACAGGCAGTCCTTAGGGAGCACTGCTGTTCAGAGTGGCCCTGGGCCCATGTTTTCCCTGGGCAGAACAGCACACTCCCTTATGATGCCCTCTGTGCTTTGGTGTATGAGGGCAGAGCTGGAGACATGACTGTACTGACAGCCCACACACCCTAAGCTGAAGAAACTGCCCAGGTTTTAGCAGATAGTTCTGCTTTCCTGGGCAGTGGTAAATATTACTGATTTATTTTTCCCATCCTCCTTCCCCAGGAAAGTCAGCTAGCCCATAGCAAGCAGCGCTCAGTGGTCCTGAGTCTAGAATTTGGAAGGAGAGCTTGGCTGAAAGGCACTGGCTGCCCTCACTACTATTCAGAGCCATACCTACAAATATCTTTTGTCCACCCTCATACATTCTTCATATTCCCAGTTAGGAGCTGTGCTCCAGCAAACCCTGGACTCTTGGGACACACTCAGGTTGGGTGTGAGGAAAGCAATTCTGTTCTTCAGCCTTCACTCAAGTCTCTCGGTCCCCTCAGCTTTGCCGAGTTTCTGTGTTGCCCTTGGGTGCAGTGGATTTGGACAGGTGTTGCAGTTGCATTTTCTATGAAAAAGGATCTAGACCAGGCCACATGCGTGTAGGGCCATGGGGACCACACACTGGGCCCCAGGGTGAGCCAGGGAAGGGGCCCAAAAAGAAACAAAAATCAATTACCCTGACCTTTGTCTCAAAATGAGAGTGTTATGGGATGGCTAGATTCCCCCCCCCCCCCATGCCACAGATGGTCATAGGTGGAGCTTTTCGGAGGTGGCTGAATCTAGAGTGTGTGATAAAGTGGGCGATCGGGGCTTGATTTGTGCTTCCATGCTAGGATTCAGGGTGCCCCATCCTGAGTGTCACCCACCCTAACGGACAGAAAGGGATGCTGTTGTCACCACTGGTCACTTGCTGCTTGCTGATTTTTCTGCCTCTTGCCTTCCACCATGAACTCTTCTTTTCTCTTCTGTGATGCCTCTCTGCCATATCACCCTGCCAGCCAAGTTATAAGCTATACAAGTTATAAGCTAAAACAAACTGTTCTCCTAAGGTGCTGGGTATTTGTCTCAGCAAAGAAAAAAGTAAGACAGAGCAATGTCCTTTGCAGAGGCCTTCATATACACCAGCATTCTCTTCTTGCTGGGCCCCACTCCAGCTATAGACCACTCAATCGCCTTGAGGCCTGAGGTCCTGTCTGTTTTTTCTTTTTGAACTTCAGTCCTTAAAGCAATGTTTTGTTTAGTTTTGGCTGTTTCTGTACTTTGTAAAACAGAATGGCGCACTGTGCATACTCTTCAGAGGCTTGCTCTTTCCGTTTGGTGCAGCATCGCTGTGTCCACTGTGTGGAAGGTCACAGAGGATCTGGCTGGGGACATTTGTGCTGTTTCAGGATTTGTTTACTACCATTACCAGCATCATTGCTCTGGGCAGCCTGGGAGGTTGTAGGAGCAGGAGTGCCTACCAGCTGCGTCCTAGAAGTAGGGTGCCTATGTGCAATCCTAGCAGCAGTTCACAGGAAGTCCCATTAATCCACATGTTTTCCTGTGGTCAGAAATGCTGCTTCACTTTCTTACTCTTGTTTTGCCCTTTCCTCTCACCCCTTTCCATCACTTGGATAGCAGGCGAGAGGCACAGGTGGCAGAGAAGCCACTTTCTGCAAGCTTGGAGGAGCCCTCAGAATGAGCAGCCATTTAGGTTAGGTTCAAGTCCCAGCAGTCGCAGAGTCAAACCATGGACTAGACAGGGTCTCCACACATACCACTTGTAACCGTGGGAAGAATATTTTTTAAAATCTGTTGGGAAGCACTACAAGGGTCCTGGCAAGATAGATAGACACAGGAGACACACAGCCCTAGAAAGGGACAAGGCTGTCAGGAAGCTCCTGTGTGTGTGCACGTGTGAGTGTGTGCATGTATGAGTGTGTGCACATATGTGTGGTGGGAAGGCCCGGCTCCATCCCACTGACCTGAAAGGAAAGACAGCTTGGGCTGTCTGAGGGAAGAAAGAAGGAAAGAAAGCATGAAAAGATAGACCTCGACTCAGAGCAAAAAGTTATATTAATTACAAAAAGTAAATGAAAATTAACCAGATATTCTAGCAAAAAGACAGAGATATCATATTGGAATTATTAAAAAAAATGTTTTCCAGAAGTCCATTCTAATGAAAAAGGTACAGATAAATAAAAAGTAAAAGGAAAGAGATATAAATAGTAATCAGATAGTCATGATAAATCATAAAGTAATCATATAGTAGTAATCATAGGAAAACTGAATGTTGTTCCCATCTATGACAGCAGATAAAACTAACTTATAGGTGAGGAGTTTACCAGAGAGAAAAAGGGACATTTTTTAGTAACAGCATACTCCATCCATCAAGAGCAGAACCAGTTATAAACAGACATGTGCCTAATAAGTTTCAAAATACATGAAACAAAAGCTAACCAGAGTAAAGGGAGAAACATCCGTAGTCACACAAAAAATACTTTGGAATGTACCAAAAGATACATGTATATGTTTTCTAACTAAAAATTGCTGAGAGCAACTGAAGCCAACTTTAAGGAAAGCAAAAGTATGTCCATGGCCTGTTAAGATTTCTGCTCCCCAAATGGAGCGGTTGCTTCAGTGCAATTCCACTTGTCCCAGCGGCTTGCAGAGATGGAAACTGAAAGCTGGTTGTGCCACACACTGAGAGGCTGGTGCAAAAAGTCCACAAATTCAAACCTAGCCTGGGCAACTTAGGAAGCCACTGTCTCAAAATGAAAAAAGGGCTAGGGCTGTGTACGTAGCTCAGTTCAAAGGCCCTAGGTTCAGTTACCAGTACCCCACCCAAAAAAGAGGAAATTGACAAGCGGTTCTAAAACTTAGGTGGAAAGCAAAGGATCTACCATAGCCTGAACAGTTTTTAAAAATAAAAACCAAACAAAATTAGAGTACTCACAGTACCTGATTTTAGACTTAAAGCTATAATAATCAAGATAGTGATGAATATGTCAGCACAATCCTGATACAGGCTCATATATATAGGCAGTCAGTTGATTTTTGACAGATACCAAGGTACTTCAAAGCAGGGAAGGAAGGTTTAACAGACTGTGCTGCAGTTACTGGGTGTCCATACGAGAAAAACTGAACCTCCATCTCTACCCAGAAATCACACAGAAATTAATCTGAGGTGGGGCATGGGCTCCAACCTAAATGTTAGCACTCCCTTGGTCCCAGAGACCACCTACTACACTGTCTGTCTTTTTACTGATGTTGGAGTAATCAAACATGTTTTAGAAGAGATACAGAAAACAGGAAGCATCAACTATTCGAGAAGATGAATAAATTAGACTTCAGTAGAATTTAAAACATTCATTCTTTAATAGATATTATTTAAGAAAATGAATAAGCAAGCCCCAGGTGGAAATATTCACAGCATGTGTACCCAGTAGAGGACCCTGTCCAGAACATATGACAAACTCATGGCTTCCTGACGGCCTAGTCTTTAAACATGGACCAAAAAGGACTGGGGTTGTAGCTCAGTGGTAGACTGCTTGCCACACATATACAAGGCCCTGAGTTCAATCCCCAGTACCACCAAAAAAAAAAAAAAAATTGGCAGCAAACACATGAAAATTACTCAGCATAATTTGTTACCAGGAAAATGTATAATAAAGCAGGCATGGGTGAAGTAATGGTTCACCTCACAACAATGGCTGAAATGAATAAGCTTGATGACACTGAGGTTGGTGAGTGTGTAGAGCAGCTAGAAACCCCGTGCTGTTGCTGGATATCTGAAATGTTGTGGCCGCGGGAAGACTGCCATACGGCAGACACCGCCTGATGACTCAGTAGTTCCTCTCACAGCCCAGCCAAGAAAAGTGAGAACACCATTCCACAAAGGCAGATCCAAACTCAAGGCGCAAGTTTATTTCTAAGGGTCCCAAACTGGAAACAAAGCAAATGCTAGCATGACAGTGGATAAGTAGGTGATAGTCTGTAGTCTGTTTGTTCAGTGTTCTGAGAGAAAAAAGAATGAACTAACAGATTTTTTTTTTCCCTGTGATCAAATCTAACTCATCATCTTTGCATTAAGCCATGTCCCCAGGTCCTTAGTTTTCATTTTTATTTTGACTTAGGGCCTTGCTAAGTTTCCCAGGCTGGCTCAAACTTGTGATTCTCCTACTTCAGCCTCCTGAAGTACTAGGGTTGAATGTGTCACCAAGTACTGTGTGGATGAATCTCAAAAAACAAAACAAGTTGAGCCAAAGAAGCTGGGGAAAGTATGAATATAGTATGATTCCATGTACATGAAACTCAAGAATGAGGAAAACTGATCTCTCACACTGAAGCCAGAATACTGGCTGTGGGCTGAGGTGGAAGGACTGACTGTAGTGGTCACAGGCACTTCTCAGGGGATGGACAAGTTCTGTGTGTTCGCTGGGAGCGCTGGTGCTACGGACCACACAGTCACCTGTTCTTCAAAGTCTGGATACTTACAGCACATGTACTGCATGCTGTCTAGATTTTACCATTTTTAAAGTACTTTAAGACCTCCATGCCTTTGGGGGCTCCGGCAGCTGTGGCTCTCTGGCCCCCCAGAGTACATGAGCACCACTGCTGTTTTCCTGTTCTGTGCTCTGCTCTGCAGCGGCAGCTCTGAGTGAAAGGCAGTTTACATGTGTGTTGTCAGTTCACTCAGGGTATGGAGCTCATAAAGACGTCAGCAGCATAACTGTTTTTCTTAAGTCTTAAAGGTGACTTCAAAAAGGTTATTAGAAATTTTCAATGTTTAAGAAAATACTCTGAGTATAGTTAGGTCTTTTTTGGGTAGTGGAGACAGAATTTTGCATTATCTAAAACCCCTTCCAGATCTGATGCTCATATCATTTGGATTTTTGATACTGTTGTAGCTGAAGTTTGCACTCAAGACCTATTTTCCTCACATCTCTCCGTCCCTCACCGCTGTGCTGCTGCAACACCCCAGAGGTGAGTTCAGTGCCCCAGCAAGGCCAGGAGGACTTCTGGGGAACACCACAAAGCCCTTACCTGCCCCTTGAGGAAGCCTGTCTGCCCTTTGAGTCTTGCCTTCTGTGGGTTTTGATCCAAGAATCCACACCACTTCCCAGGTATGATCACTGAGCAGGAGGGGAAGAGCCTGTGGCCCGCTCTGACAGTCTGCCCCAGACAGCAGGTTCTGCCTTACTGGCTGGGCCCACAGCAGGCTGGAGCCTGCAGAAACCTAGCCCAGCTGTGGTGAAGTAAGGCCTCGGTTTTTCATCCCTTTTGCTCCATGCAGCATTGTTGCAGAAGAAAAGATGAAACAATAAGTGATGCCAAGAACATTTAGGAGAAATTTCGTGTAATCAAGCCAAGAGAAGGACTTTGAAATAATTTAGTAAGATACTCTAGTTACTCTATTTACTCTAAGATACTCTATTTAGTAAGATACTCTAGTTCGCTCTGGTCTCCTTCACCAGCTGCCTTCTGTCAGCCGCTGCCTTCAGCTGTGAACATGTCCATGAGCCCGTGCATAAGAGTATTTCAGATGTGGAGAGCGAAGACTTCTCCCTCTGTGGCTGCAAGCCGTAGGGAAGGCCACACTAACACAGAAGGAAGCTCAGATCTTGATGGTGGAGCGGGAGAGGACAGGGAAGGGTAAAGGCCATCTCATTTTCCTTGGCCTCCCCAGGATCTGGGAAGATCAGTGGTGGAGCACTTGCCAGTCTGTGCAGAGCTCTGGGTTCCATCTCCAGCACCACAAGGCCACAAGTGGGGTGGGGGTATCTTGTTCCAGAAAGTAGATTGACAGTCCTAAAACATTTTATGAAGTCTAATTCCCCCCTCTCTGTCTTGCTTGCTCACTCACTCACACTCACTCTTGCTTCCTTACTTTTAGACTATCTCAGAGTCAGCAGAGTCAGGTATAGAGACACATGCTTGTTATCCCAGCATTCAGGAGGCTAAGGCAGGAGGATCACTATGAATTCAAGGCCAAGCTGGGCTACATGGTGAGACTGTCTCAAGAGAAAAAAAAACAGTTTTCACTTAAAGTGACCCATGTGACTGTCTTCTTGGATGCCAGAGATGGGATGATGGTAACCTCAGTGAGAGCTCTGGGTGATGGTTAACACAGGAAAACTTTACTGTATTAACAAAACAGAATGGTCCAGAATGTAGTTCCTGCAGTGAGGTTGGGCAGACAGAGCCTCGGGTCATCCCTCCAAAGAAGCTGACTGGGCTCCAGAAATCGGACTGGGGTTGGGAGTTCTTAGGGTTAGAAACCTGTGAACCGCTGAGTGATTTGTATGTGGCATGTGCCCCGCTGTCTCCCTTTGTCTCCATGCAACCATCCTGAGCACCTGCAGGATTGGCACTGAGCAGAAGCACAGAGCTTCCTGTGCTGTCCCTGGAACTGTCATCTGTCTATGTTGCCTCTGGAAAAACCAAATGTCATGTTCTCAAATGGAAGTGAGTTTACATAGTAAAATCTACTTATCAGAACTTTGTAGTGTGTCCATGGTGAGGCCTTAGGGGCATTAAAAAATCACTTTTGGAACTAGGACTCAAACTCATGACCTCGTGCTTGCCAGACAGGCGCTGTGCCACTGAGCTATAACCGGACAGGTGATCACTCTTGAACCTGGACTGTACAGGATCCGTCAGAAAGGGCAAATACAAGTATGTCAGTGGCTTGAAAAAGAAGAAAATGAAAAATGCATTCCAATGGCTCTGAGTTAAGGGTCCCCCGAGTTCAGAAGAGAGCATGCTACGGGGCTCCCTGTGGTCTGTCACACTGTGCCTGAACCCTCTGTCTCTACACTATCCTCCTTATGTATCTGACAGTGTGACTACATGGAATCCTTTTTCAGGTGTTGATTAAAACTGCATATACACACATGCTCAGATGTGCTCAAAACCATAGGGTAACTCTCAAACCAGAAAACCTTACTTGGGAAAGGACTTTTGTTTGCACAATGCCTGTATATTTTTTTGCCCATGTCCTCAATTATAAACCTGAAATCATTTTCTGAATTCATCACAACCACAGACATTTTAAAGAGTTGGCCAGTCCACCCCTGATTCTTTTTTCATGGTTTTAGTACATGCCCATGTGTTTTGAAATCACTGATTATTATGGATAATGTAAGGAGTAGGTAGGTAAAAAGATAAAGCTAGGTGCATCACCAACATGGCATTTGGAAGTCCCAGGGTGGGCAGCTTATGTAGTTGGTATCCACTGCCACAAACTCAAGTTAAAGATGCATTGATGTCTCGCCCCGATTAACACTGATAGACTTTCTTCCCCAGGGTAAGAGGGAGAGCCTGGCTGGCAAGCATGGTGTGGGTTCCAGCATAACTGCGGACAGTTCTGGGTGGGCCTGGTTTTTACTCAATCCCCCTAACTCCTTCCCTGCCCACAGATACCCCACAGGGATGCCACCACCAGCTACTGCAGCATGTTTCCCTGATGCTCCGAAAAGCAGTGGAAGACCAGGCTTGTGGGTGAGCAAACACTGACCGCCTAAGGCAGCCTCCATGTGGCTTCACCTCACCCTCTTCCTTCCCGTCAGGTGAAGGCCTTCCTGGACCCTTGCCAGACCAGTGAGCATGGCCGCTGCCCAGGGAAGGCAGAAGTGCTGTGCAAGGCCTGAGGGGGGCCAGCCCCGAGTGAGGTCCTGCTTTAGAGCTTAACGATAAAAAGGGCAGACCCTAGAAAAAGCAGCGTCCACATGCAGGGGGCCCTGGCTGTGTAGATAGAAAGGCTCCACCTCTGGACAGAAGGAAACCCTGAGTTCCTACCCATGAGTAGGGAGTATCCACTGTTATCTGCATCCCCCCTCCCAGTTGACATAAAAGTTGTGCCTTGCTTTCTTCTTCTGTAGTAAATAGTTCTCCAAAATTAGAAAATCAGTTCTAGCATATTAACCAGTGGCATGTTATTCTTTACGCATGCCATCTCCTTATGTGTGCTGTGTTCCCTAAAGAATTCACATGCAGGTTTGCTGTGTCTTCCCTTGGTGTCATCTTGACTCAGCCGTGTTTAGCGTGCAGATGACATTGTACGCATTGCCTAGTAGGGCTATCTTATTTGTCCATCTCCCAATCTTCCTGTCTGCTGACTCTCTGGTCTCATTTCTGAGCCAGCGCAGAGCATTGTGGGTAGTCTGTGTCCGTATGTACTGATAGAGGTACCAGAGTTTTGACCAACAGGGAACAGGTGGAAGGGAACAGGCAGCCTGACGGGATCCACTCTGGCCACATTACCCGCCTGCCATCGGCCTTTCCCAGTGTCCCTGTGGGATAGCAGAGCTAGAGCCATAGGCTCCTACCCTCACCTCAGCCTGAGGGTCCTTTTCAGGAGGCCCTGAGGGAGCACAGTCACTCTCCTAGGTCAGTCACACAGACGGGCTGGCACAGTCAGGGCTTAGTGAAGGAGTGGGAGGGAACAGGCCTGCGCTTTATGCGAGGTCAGCTCCAAGGAGAGCATGGAGAGCCCCATCACTATGAGCTGCCTGGGCCACCTGCTGTCCACGTGGCCCTCAGTTCCAGCTTGACCTGTGGATGAGCAGCTCCCCATTAGAGACAGGGAGCAAGGCTGGGACACCCACCCTTCTGCAGCTTGATTTCAGAATACATAATGACGTGTTCTTGGGGAGGACCATTGCAGCAGGGTCAGAGATCTGTCCAGAGACTGTGCTCCAGGGGGCAGCCCATGGGCTACACAGAGGGACACAGGCCAAGTCCCACATGGAGATACCACAGAGCAACTGCAGCGCTCCCGTTCTTGTCACTCCCTGCCATCCCGGTCTCCGGGGAGGCTCCGCCCAGTGAGACTGTCCTTACCTAGTCTGCTCTTGCACAGGCGTCACAGCTCCCAGTCTCCAGTGAGCAAAGGGCCTGGCTTGGGAAAACCTCTGATCTCCCAGCACTGAGTGTGTATGAGGACAGGCGAGATTGCTATATGTGCTCATTACACATTCAGCACTGCTGAAATGCAGCCGGAACCTGGTGTCCTATCAGATAGAGTGCAGTACATGTTTGCCTGTGCCCCTTACCACTCCGCTGTCCTGAAGGCAGAGGTCAGCAGCCTGCTCTGATCTGCAGCAGGGCTCCTAGAGCCTCCCTTCTTCACTGCAGCACCACCTGGTGATGTCCTCCTCAGCTCAGTGGCTCATGCCATGTGGAAGGCAAGGGCGCTGTCTGGCACTGCTCCTGCTGATGACACTGCTCCTGCTGGTGACCGCCCCATCTCTTTTTCTGGAAGCCAGTACTCACTAAAGATACCCTAATATAAAGACTTAACTGTCCCATGGTCCCCCCACACACATGACATGTGATTGGTTCCAAGCGGCACTCAGGTAAGTCTTCTAACTTGTGTTCCTTGTGCACTGTACTTCACTGTCAATACATTTAAGCTCACCATCTGCAAACATGGCAGTTGCTGTGTGAACCAGATGGAAAGTGAGATGTGGTGCACATGTCTGTAATCCCGATTAGTTGGAAGGCCGAAGCAAGAAGATTGCAAGCTTGAGGCCAGCCTGAGCAAGATCCTGTCTCAAAAACCAAGATAAAAGCATAAAAAAAAAAGCAGTGAGGTCACTGGCTGCTGTGTGTCTTGGCTGTGTTCCAGGTCCTGCAGAGACCCCTTTGAGAGCTGGTTTTTGTTTATTCACTTTGGAGGCTGGGCTGATTTGGCGGCTGAGCACTTACTGAGGTCGGCAGTAGAAGCCCCTGCGGCAGCGGAAGCCCCTGTGGCAGCACTGCTGTGGCTCTTGGCTTTCTACTACAGGCCCCTGGACTCCCATCAGCAGAGAGCACAGACCATGGTAGGTGATGCCCAACATTGGGGCAGCACCTGGGGTGCTTAACCATTCACTGACCCCAATCCCTGAGCACAGGCCAGTCATGGCATATGTCTAAGAACGGGTCTATACCAGTGTGGATAGCCATGGTTGTGGGCTGGCCTTATATTCAGCAGTGCGCTGCTACCTCTGCAAGTGGCCTGAAGGACTGATACCAACCTGTGCTGTCAGCTGGTCTCCCTCTCCCGGGCCCTTCTGTCTCCCCATGCTCATTTACCCAGTGCCCTGCCCCAGGCCTCAGTCCCCCTGAGGATCCCTTGCAGGGCTGAAGTGCCTCCCTACCAGCACTCTCGTCCACTGGTGTCTCATTCCCACCGGGCCTGGCTGCCTGCTTCCCCTCACCAGCTCTCTTCAGACCTCTCCCTAGCATGAGCACATGATTTTAGCCACTATCCTGAGAAAGGACGTGGTGATTTTCTAAATAACAGAGCAGCTAAGTACAGGAGAGAGGAGCTATGGTGAAGGCTGCTGTTACTTTATGTGGGATAAAGTAATTACAGGAAGCTGTGCTTTGATTAAAGGCACTAGCACCTCCCTTACAAACATTTACTTGCTGGTTTTGAAAACTTAAACTGCCAGTGTTTGGGGCCGATTTTAATAATTAAAGGGAACAGGTTTCATTATGTATGGAACAATGCTCCTATTTGCTTTATATTTTCTGTTTGAAAAAAGCAGAGACCAGTACAAATGTTTGTATATTTCATTTGTTGAAAAGCTTCAAGGCAGGGGAAAGAAAAAGTTTTAAATTTTAAAAAGGTAAAATTTAAGGGTAAGTTTTTGGATCAAAATAAAACATTTTTTAGAAATGTTTTTCATAATCCACATATGTACAACAGGATTGCTATCTGATTAAAAACAAAGCCTGCTATCCCCTTTAAAATAGCACATTAAACTAATTAAGGAAAACCCTAGTTTGTTTTTCATCATCTTATTTTTAACAGTAATAATTAGGATGTATGATCTACTCATGACTTCTAAAGCCCTTTTATATGCATTTCATATTGGATTCGTATAAACTTAAGTTGGTAAATATGTGTTAAATTCCATATGGATCATGGACACTGACAAAGAGAGGCTTGCTTTTGAAGTACAAAGAAATAAATTGCCCAGTGAGGTTAAATTTCTAGAAAGTTTTGCTTTGGCATAACTTCTTACTAATTAACTTGTTTTTTTAAGGGTTTTTTTTTGTTGTTGTTTTTCTTTAAACCTATGCATAGTTCTTAGGAGATACAGAGATGCTTAGGCATCTTGAAGAAAAGTAGATGAACTCGTTTGAAGTAGTGCTTGCTGTCCCATCAGAGGCAGCCCTCTGCCTGGGACTGAAGCCAGAGCTGTATCTGTAATGCAGAGCGGGTTCCTCCTTGATGCCGACCTCAGGCGCTGGTGTGTGTGACACCCCCGGAGGAAGCAGTAATAAATCCCTCTGTGCCCCTGAGCTTTCCTTCCAGAAAGGTCTGTCAGGTGACGGGAGAACACATTGTGAACGGTTGGTGTGATCGCTGTGCTTTGATGGACCTTGGTGTCACTTCAAAGGCTTAATGAAACCACTCCTGTAGGAACACAACATGGCCAGGCACTCGACTCCCACTGAGGTGCGGGAACAGGGCAGACAGCACGACCTCCAGGCCAAAGGTTACCCTCCCTGGCAGGCCCCCTTCTCTGCTGCACCGTTCATCCCCTCTGCAGAGTGAGCTGGAACAGGATGAAGAACTGAAATGTCTGTTTAGGTACCATTAAGACAGAGGCAAAGATCCAAACCTTTAACCTTGGCATTCCAGAATCCTTCTAAAGAAAGAGAGCTATACAAAGATTTTGAATGGGGATAGTCATTACAGCATTGTTTAAAACTGCACATGTGGGGAACAGTTTAAATATTTAGTAGTAAAGTAGTTGTCTATATCCTAATCCTGGAATAGCTTTCTACTAGGAGAAAAAAAACATGTCATTGGAGAACACATTCAGTAGTATCATAAATTGCTCATGGTACAGTGTGGGGAAAAAACCTGTAAGACATAAAACAAGTATAGTGACTGGTGTATTCTCAACGTACAGGATAAAAAGCATTATTGTCTTATTAATAACTCTTAATGACAGTTACAGATCACTTAAATTTTGTTCTTGTCCATTGTGAGCATATATAAATTTATATAATGCAATAAAAACAATACTTTAAAAAAAGAAACAAAGCATTTCAAGTACTGACATGTTGCATAGAAGCTTCTGGACCTGGAAGGCATCAGTAGGAACCTCAGTCCAGGACAAAAGAGAAAAGAGGGCCATTCTTAGGCTACTGAACAAGAGCAAAAAACCAAAAGCCAGTAAAGAAGGAGGTGAACATAAAGCCACACTATAGACCTGGTTATATGGACCACAGATGTCACTGGCTGCAGGCAGGCGGGCACAGCAGGCATGGGAATGCCCCGTGCATGGGCGTGGGAATGCCCCATGTACAGTGGGAGTGCCCTGGGGTGGTGGTTCTCACGGCCTTGCTGTGGTCCAGAGAGCTCACACAACACCCCCAGTGTGCTGTGGACACTGAGGGACAGCGTGGAGCAGGCCTCCGCTCCCAGGAAAGCAGCAGCTCCGGTCACAGGACCTCTTGGGACAGACAGACTGAGTGTTCTTTGAAGAGTGACGGAATACAGTGGCTGCGAGTTCCATGTGGCATTCTGGATGTATGGCTTTCAGTTTTTGCTTTGTTTTCTAAGTCACAACTTGATGCAGTGTTCTTAGAGCAAGCAGAAGTTTCAGTATGAAATATTTTTTATGTAAAAACAACCCACAAACTTGTAACACGTATCGTTATTATGTGAATTCCGCAGACTTGTGACCTCTGCTTGAGTTTTAAACATGTATAAACAGATTGTCCCAGCAACTGAATCAAAACAGGGTGTGTGTGTGTATGCCCCTGCATCTTAGAACCAGGCGGGCTGGAGGCGGAAGCGGCATGCATGGCCTTCCCCTCCCCACAGCAGCTCAACCTAGGCCGCCATGCTAATCAATTTGTGGCCTACTATGATCAGGCAAGTCTTCAAGGAACCTTTTGTTCTCTTTTCCTATAATGTAGGAAAAATCTGACTTCATTCTGTGGAGGACTTTTCTGTTTCCATTCATTATAAAAAAGGTCAAATCCAGCTACTTTCCATTTTGCCCATTTGGGTTTATGTGGAATGAAGTGCGAACTAGGCCTCAGCTGCCCTGTTTGGAGCCCTCCTGCTCTTCTTTCTGGAGCCTGCTTCAGAGCATAAGCAAACCCTAGTGCAGAGTTGACAAACCTCTGTCCAGGCTCTGCCCTGATCTCTCTTCCTTGATCTCACTGCCCAGGTAGAGATGGAAGCAGTGCTCAGCCGCCTCCGATTCCTGACACTGTCCAGAAGCTCCCCCATATCTGCTGAGGAGCTGCGGGCAGCTGCCGGGGAGGACAGCCACGAGGACCCCATGCAGCCTGTGTGTGGACGGCTGATCAGGCACCTGCTCCTCAACTTCCTGCTGTGGGTACCGGCAGGCCATGCAGCTGCTCACGATACCATCACTCTGGTAAGTGTCCACTCCTGCAGTCCCAGGTCACACTTACCTGGGGTGACAGGGTGGGTATCCTACAAGGATCACGGCTTTGCAGAGCGTGTGCCTCGGGTACCGCCCCTACATGGGTGAAGAGCCAGGGAAGGGGACAGCTGACATGGGCCCAGGGCCTGCCCATGTGACACCTGCAGGGCACAGAGGACAAGAGCGAAGGCACAGAGCCAGGAGTGTTACCTCACAGTCTACCTGGCTTGCTGCCAGGCCCCCTGGTGAAAGCCAGGCTTCCTGACCTCTTCACAAGAGCACTCTGCTGCTCCTCATGGGACAAAAGCAGGCTCCCGAGAGAGTGTACTCATGAGCAGTCACTGCACCCATCGTAGCAAGAGCAGACCACTGGTTTAATGCAAGGAAAAAGCAGTCAGTTACAGAGGAACCCATCCTGAAGCCCAGGTGACTAGAAGACAAAAGAATGCTCCAAGTCAAAGCAATGGCATTCATGATATTAGATCTGGCACCAAGAACCCAGGCAACAAAAGGAAAAGCAGATAAACTGGTCATTAGGGAAATCCAAGTCCAGCCCATACCGAGATTCACTTCGCAACCACCAGTACAGTCTTGCTGAAGGTGAACCAAAACTGGAATCTTCCTCCATTTCCAGTTGGGAGGGTTAGTATGGTGCAGCTGCTGTCGAAGAGTTGGGTGGGTCCTCTGCTCCGACGCTTACACCCAGAAGAACTGGACGCAGGCACTTGAGCAAGTATCTGTACAAGTATTCCTAACAGCAAGTTCTCCTAATGGCAATGTAGCCAATAGCAAAAAGATGCAAATAACCCGGATGTCCACCAACCAATGATAGGGTAAACAAAACGAGCTGTGTTCACACCAAGGAAAGCAGTTCTGGTGCATGCTGCACCGCGGCTGAACCTGGAAGTCACTCCGCTAAGAAACCAGTCACAGGACACACACTGTGAGCTTTGCAGAGTAGTCAAATTTACAGCCACCAAAATAGATTGAGTTTGCCAAAGGCTTGGGAGCTGAGGAGTTAGTGGCCGTAAAGGAAGAAAGAGTATTTCTGCTTAGGAATGTCAAAGGCTGCAATCCTGCAGTTATGAAATGAGTATCTTCTGGAGACCTAATACACAGCAGGGTGAAGATAATTATTAATAATTTATACTTGAAATCTGTCGAGAAACCATCTTAAGCATTCTCATCGTGCACAGCCGTACCTGCCCCCATATACTGTGAGACAGTGCTGGATGTGTTAGTAACCTTTTCACACAGCATGCAGGTACCAAAATACCACGTTTATGTACCTGAGGGACACAGATCCAATACATAGCAATGCAGAACAGAAAGTCGAAAACTGAGAGGTCAAAAGTGTCCACCTAACTTGGTACCAGCAACTACTGCTCTTCTAAGTTGTAACAGCCAGGTTTGGTGACAGAGGGGAAATAGCCAGGGGCTGAGTCATGTTCACGGTGCGCACCCGGGTGCGGTGCGATAGAAACGACACTTTATCATTGCGGCCATTTCTCAAAATCTTATAGCCCAGGTCTCAGGAAAAACAGCAGACCAACTCCAGTTGAAAGACAATCAGCAAAAGTCCTGCCAGTGCACCTCAAACCATTGGTCAAGGTCATCAAAACAAGGAAAGGCTGAGAAACTGTCACAGCCATCGGCAGCTGGAGGAGGCCAGTTGTCACTTACGGCACAAGGGCTGTGGCTGGAACTTCAACCCTGTTGCTGGATGACACTCCCATCCTATGTCCTGTCACCTGTGAGGAGCTGCAGCCCTGTCCAGGGTGAGAGCAGGCCCCTCTGCGTGTCTTGCCTGCTGGGAGCCAGTGCAGCCAGTGCAGCACAGACACACCGGTGTCTGAGATACTGGTGCCCTCCTTCAGTCCAGCCAGTTTCAACTAGTTGGGGAACAGTGGCAACCACACAGCCGAATTCAGTCCACTTCCCCACCACACAGCAGTGCTGCTTACCTGAACGTGGGCTTGGGAGTGCAGGTCCCCTGAAGCCTCTGCGTCTCTGTGGATCTTGCAAGGCAGTTCAGAGCACAGTGGAGACCTCACCAAGGGAAGTACCCCTCTCTCCATAGCAGCAGGAGCCCTGTGTGGGCCACTGCAGCCAGGCACCTCAGGTCGCATCTGTGCAGAAATCTGGGATGCCTTTACTTGCACACAAGCCCTCCTAGCAAGGAGACCTGGGCAAGTGGCTCCTCCATCCCCGGGATTCTCTCTGATGAGCCCTGGTCTGGCCACCCAGCCTTTCTCCAGCAGCAGGTGTCACAGCTCAGGGCCACAACGCAACCTTCTGTGTGCTCAGACGGCCCAGAGTCACCTCTGAGCCTGGGCCCGGCATCTGCCCTGAGCTGTGCTGCACTGGCTCCCAGCAGGCAGGACACGCCATGGCAGGCAGAGTCACTGTCCCTTCAGAGCCCTTGGGCCTCCTGCCCTGTCTTAGTGTCCGCTAAAGTGGTGGTCACCCTAGCAGAAGCACAGAACAAAAGGAAGCCAGCCTGACCTGCTCTGGCTGAGCTTTTGTGGCTCACACAAGTCAGACATGTAGGTTCCTCTTGCAGGAACCTGGGGCATGGAACCCCAAAGACCCAGTAAATTCCACGCAGAGCTAACTTGGGAGATTCTCTCCCCTTCCTTTTTTCTCAACTGAAGTTTTTAGGAAAATATGGGCACCAGCAAGGAAGAAACCCTTGTGGCCATACTTAACACCCTGCAAGAACCAAGTTTCAAATCTTAGTTGTCTTCTGAAAAGTAAGTGAGCTGGCTTGCTGCCCGGCAGTGCCACCTGTCAGGCTGTATGTGTGCAAACAGGTGGCACTTTCCAGTCCTCATGGCAGTGTAGCCTTGTGCAGAAAGTCAGGCCACAATACACTTTCTGCTTGGCCCCCTGAAGCCCCAGATTTGTGACTGATGTTTCAGAGATGCTGCTGTCTCTGCAGCACCAGTGTGACCCTGTAAGCCCGGGGTCTGGCTGCAGAGCTTGGGCTTGTGGTACAGTCGGCCTCTAACAGACTAGACACCTCCCAAGCAGGACACTGGCCCTGGGAGCTCCCCTCTGCAGCCACTATGCTCCAGCCTTCTTGGACAGGACCATTATAGTGTTCACTGGACAGAGAGAACCTGCCGGAAAGTGTTTTAATTTTTCTTTCCTCTCACTGCAGATGGCCTGCACTGATGAGATATCTCATGAGATCACTGGCTTTCTGGACCAGACACTATACAGATGGGATCATCTTTGCACTGAAGCCCCTAGGCCAGCAAAACTGGCCAGAGAGCTCCTTCAGGAGCTTCGAGCTCGGGTCTAGCAAGGAATGTGGACCAAACGGATGCTTGGGGGATGCAGAGTGTCAGCCTTGCCAGTTCCACAGAGGATGGGGGGGGACCCCTCCTGCCTGTGGACACCGGTTTGAGGACCAAGTCCTTTGAGCTGGGAAGTGAGCTATGCACATCTTCTTTTTCTCTTTTTGTGGTTCTGGGGATCCAACTCATAGCCTTGCATTTGCCAGGCAGGCGCTTACACCACTGAGGTAAATCTCCAGCCCAAACTGTACACATCTTAAACTTGGGCAGGATACAGGGTTGGGATGATCTGGCAGTGCCAAAGCCCAAGCACGAGGGATTGCTGGACCTTGGGTGGTCTCTCTACCCGCTCTACCTAGGATGCTGTTGTTTACTTAAGCAGGAGGGCAGACTCTGTTTCCTTTTTGACAGACCAAGCCAGAATGGATAACTACCTCTTGACAGTGGACCAGGGTCTTGAACCCCTGGTCAATTTAGCCCTTTTCCATAAATTACTCTCTAGGAATCAGGTGGTCGTGACTGATGTTTTATTCTTTGAGATCTAAGACAAAGACACTGCCTCACTTCCTTAAGAAACTCTTTATCCAGGAGTCAGGATCCCTCAGGTTCCCTTTTACCCCTAACCTGTCCAGCCAGACAGCAGAGGAGGCAGAAAGTGGGACTGATGTGCCATTGGGTTGCTGCACAGGGCAGCCCTGCGGAGGACGGCACACACTGTGAAAGCAAGCCAGTCCTGGCTGTGGTCGCTGACAAGATCACTGACGAGGAGCTCGTGGTACAGCACAGACTGCTGCCAGGCGACATACATGACCAGCCCAGCACGTGTCAGACCCAGCAGGGAGGGCTGATGTATCGGCTGTGTGTGTCACTGAATGGTAAGGGGAACTGGAAATTCTTAAGAAAGAACTGGAAAACTCAGGGTTAATGTGCGTTCACATCAGCAGAAGCTCTCAGTCTTCCAGATGCACCCTTACTTGGTATTGGCCATACACTGTGTCCTGGGTTTGTGACACAAGTTGAAACCTTCCATGTCCTGGGTTTCTCTATTAAGTCTCTGAATCTTGGTTCCTCTTTCAGTAATAAGTAGCATCTTGTGGGCCCAAAGTCAGCCTTTGGCGAGTCAGCCTTTTAACTCGTGTTGGTTATAGCAGTGTTCACAGCACCCCAGACAGCCGGAGAAGGCCAGGAACTGCTGCCCTGAGCCTCCACCCCACACCTGCCCAAGGCGCCCCTCTCCTAGGCCGTGTGACGTGGCTGCTGCTGCCACAGAAACTGAAGGAGGTCTGGACAGGCCAGAGGCTTCACAGTGGTGGTCACAAGGAACCTCTAAAAAGCAGAGCCACCAGGAGCAAGCCCTCCTTGTGGGCATGGGACCCACGGGAAAGACTGAGCACTGACCCCCTTATTTGGTCAGGCCACACAGTCTCCCCACGTCACTGACTAGCCCCGTCTTCCCAGTGATGCAGGCCAAACTGTTCAGCCATGGATTCCCCTCACTGCCACCCAGCCCACTAGGAACTCTCCCCCAGGCTGACCCTGTCTCACTCCCACTACTTAGCATCATCTCCTGCCCAGTGAATTCTGTTGAGGGAATATACCCAGATAGGAGCTCAGGACATGATGAATGCATTTCAGTCAGCTAGGGAAAGGTTGTGGGAAACAAAAACCAAAATAAACACTGCAGAATAAAGTGCCTGGGCCTCTTTTTTTGCCCAAGGTCAGTGTCACAGGACTGCTTGGGAAGAACAGGAGGGCTAGGAGGGGCTGCTACTCTCTGGAAAGGTACAACACCAAGACTGGAGATGCTTGCAGTCAGAGCTTCCCCGCTATTTCATCTGCAAACAGGTTCGCATGAACTCTCTGGCCCCACTCCCTGCACACCCACATTCGGCCTGCAACCGCTCCACGTGGTGCAGAATCTTGGCCACATCCCTAGTGGGCCCCACACGGCCCCAGTGCATTTCCCTCTGCTCTGGACCCAGAGGCTGAAGAAGCCCTTTCTATACACAGTGCAGAGCCAGAAACCCCAGAACTGATGAAACTAGCACCCAGAAACAAACCATAAATGCATCTGGCGAACTGGGAAAAACTTACAAAACAGGAGAAAGAGCTAATTCTCTAGCTTCTAAGCTGCATCTACAAATCAGTTCAGAAAAAGGCCACCACCATGAGGTTTATGGGCAAGGGACCCAAATCCTGCATCTGAGTCACAGGAGAAATACAGCTTTCAAAAGACTTAAATGAGGGGGCTGGAGATTTAGCTCAGCGGCATAAACACCTGCCTTGCAAGCGGTCGTGAGTTCGATCCCCAGTACCAGTAAAAAAAAGACTTAAATGAGGGGCTGGGGATTTAGGTTAGTGGCATAAGTGCCTGCCTTGCAAGTGTGTGGTCGTGAGTTCGATCCCTGGTACCGATAAAAAAGACTTAAATGACATTTAAGGCATACACATATTACTCCAGCACTTGGAAGGCTGAGGCAGGAGGACCACAAGTTTGACTCGCACCTGGCAATTTAAGAGACTGTGCCTTGAAATAAAAGAGGTTTTTATATCATGCTAGAATAGCTGAAAGCCTGGCACTGCCATGCTGCTGGAGAAGTGCTAAAAAGGGAAGGGCGGGGGCACTGCTGCCCTTTTGGAGGGCAAGCTGACAGATCCCACAGTTTTAAATGTAAGCAGTCTGGTAACAGATTGTAAGACCCAACAGCTCCACTCAGAGATTCAGACCTGAAAGTGGGAGCTATGTGGACATCCAGTCATGGCAGTATTATGCAGCTAAAAGGTACAGACGTATGGGTAAGTGACACAGCCATACATACAGGGTACCATTCAGTCTTGAGCAGGAGGACATAGTGACATGTGGCCCAACACATATGATTGCTGAGCCAGCCAGGACAAACAGCAGGACATGTATTACATGGTTCCGGCCCACAAGTGCCTCCCACAGGCACACTCGACTCAGACAGGAAGAAGAATGCTGTGCCAGGACCTGGGGGAGACGGTGGGGAGTCACTACCTAACACAGTTTCATTCGGGAAGCTGAATGTGATCTGCTGACAGAGGTGATGCTGGATATGCAAGAAGGTCACTGGATCTAATGCTGCTGACATACACTGGAAGTGATTTGTTTTATTACATAGTATAATAAAACTGAATAAAGTTTCTAAAACTTATATTATCTTTTCATGCTCTTAAAAAACCTCCATGTTTCTGACCCCATTCCATTTCAGATTGATGGGTCCCATTGTAATGAGCAAATCTTGGCATTTTCCTCACGTATTTGCACACAGAACACCCAGGATTATTTATGGGGTTTCAGTGACCAACTGGAAATGATACTGAGCTTCACAGATAGAGACTGGTTAAATGTGTAAATAAGAGATGGAGAGGAAATACATACTGGCATGCTCCAGACCAGGCCCTGACAGAGACAAGAGGAGATAGGACAGAGATGAAAAAAGAATTCGTATGTACACATACCAGCTCCCAAAGGAATGTAAGCATTACGGACTGCAAACACGGATAAAAATAATGTTAAAAGGATCTCACACACTGACACGGTGGTGAGCCTTCTAGAGACGGGTGCCCAAACCAACTCAAACCCACTTATTTATCACAAAGAATCAACATTGCAGTTAAGCCTGAACACTGAAGTTTCAATTTAGAAAAAAAGACATTAACACTTTATGTCTAAAAAAAAACCATGCATGCCACACGTCCACTATCACTGCACTAACTTACTAATCCAGTTACAGTGTACACCAGAGACAGAGCCCAGAGGCTCAGGTGACCTGGCCAAGGTCTGAGAAAGGGCACCAGCGAGAAGTCATCACCCCTCAGGTTACCACACAGTCACACCATGCAGCCATCCATGAGGAGAAGCCAGGTTTAATGTGTTCATCTGTTGCCTGGGAAACTCAAAACTGTGAACCCGCATATACCCAATTGTCCCTGGGTACCCCCCAGCTCAACAGAAGGATTCGATCAACCACAGCTGGAAGCTATTTGGACAGAAGGTTGCATCTATCTGAACATGTGCTCTTTCTCTTGTCACTCTTCCCTGGATAGTGTTAACAACTGTTTCCACAGTATTTACACTGGAGGTATTCAGAGTAACCTAGAGATGGCTGATGGTTTCCAAGAGAGAGAGCATCCTTGGAACAGTGTCCGTGAGGTCCCAAAGTGACTTTCTTCGAAGACTGAGGAAGACTGTACTATGCTGCTTGAGTGTAGGATATGGGGAGGGGCTAGGTGATAGGGGGACAGGAAACTTACTTTTTGTTTACATATTGTTTCTATTTGCATAGTTAAGCAAAAAAAAAAAGTCATAATCATCCATACACAAAGGCAAGACTCTGTTCTTGAAGGGGGCTGCTGGTAAACAATGCTGAGCAGGATGGAGGTGCCATGTGCAGCATTGAAAGGAGATAGCTATTGGTGTCTGCATTTCTGCACTGCAGCAGACACGTGAGACTTATGTGGCTTTTTCCAGGACCTAGGAGCTAGCATCTGACATAGAATTTTCTAGAAAAAGATCACCTGCCCCTTATGGCTGGATCCATGTGCTGTGATGTGTATGCTGTGGACTTTGGCTTTTGGAGCACCTTCAGCTGGAGCAGTCCAAGGGGTCTGATCCTACTCGGGAAGACCATCTGTCCTCTTCCGGCTTCTGCACTGCCTAGGAAACATTTGCAAAGGTTGCGCCACCCTCTGTACCTACCTCTTCAGCAGATTTATTAAAACAGATATAATCATAAAAGCTACAAGTCCTTCCCTTACCGACTTTACATCTCAGTGTCAGGCACACATTTTCCATTTCACTGGCAAATAAAGCAGACTCTTCACCTCTTGACCACATTTCCACAGATAGCATGCACACACAGCCCACATCAGGCCACGGGTGTGCCATCCTCCCTGAGGGTGCTACTGACCCTGCCTTCTGAAGTCTGCTGAGGTCACCCTCAATGGGCACCTTGGCAGCAAGCAAGGCTGAAGGGTACAGAAGACCTCAGCCTCACCAGCGCCCTGGTGGGACACCTCAAGAACAGCTGTGGGGCAACAGCTCCATCCCTCAAGGCCTGGGAAGGGAAGCATAGGCACAGGAGCACACAGAGGGCTAAGAGGAAGCCATGGGCACACCCCATTGCCTATGTAGGCCATGGAGCAGCTGTCTGGGAAGGTGGCTACAAAGCTCTCTTGTGTTCCTGGCTGCCATCTCTCAGCCAGGCACCCTGCCAGTGAGGACATGGGCAGGACTGTCTCCTCAATTGAGCGTCCCCAGGCTGCCCCGGTCCCCACCCTACAATGCCTGCCACTGGTAGGTGACACAGCCAAGTGGCTAAGAGGCCCTGGTTGGGTGGCAGGAACGTCTTCTGAGCAGTTGCCCTAGCACCCAGCCCCTTTTAAGTCGTTGAGGCTTATTTTATCTCAGGTGACACTCCTGTGAATGCCTGGGGTGAGAGTTGACTCTGTGGGACCTTTATCTGCGTCTGTGTTCAGTGCTCCCCCTCCACACCGACCTGGAGGCAGGGTTCCTGACACCATGTCACCTCTACCCTCAGGAGCCCACCTAGGAATTTCCCTGGATCCAGCCTCTGCCAGAGGCCTGGCTGCCCACCGCAGTCCCAGCACGAAGCTCTGGGCAGCTGCTGCTCCTGGGAACATCTGTCGTTTTATGGTCGCCTCTTTCACCCCTCAAACTTTGCTCCCGGCCGCCTCCCTTTTTTTTTCACACTGTTGAGTCACTGGACTGGAACAGAAATGCCTTATTAGCTGTTTTGTCTCTCAGCACCAGAGGGTGGGAAAAAATCCATAAAACCTTGCCCTTGAATAGTCCTAATTGGCCTCTCCCAGCTCCACCTCGTAAACCCCACAGTCCAGCCAGGGAGGGCCGAGGTCACGGTACACGGTGGGGACAGTGGCCTGGAGATTGAGGGGTTCACCCTGCCCTCACTGAGCCAGCTTCTGGTAACTGCCCCAGGTGGTCCCATCTGATGCTCCTCAGACCCCTGGGGTGCAAGCCTGCCCCTCCGGGGGATGTGGCGGGGGGGGGGGGGGACACCAGCTGTGGAGTCCCTGGCAGGGCTGTGGCCTGCGGGGGTCTGAGATGGGGAGCAAAGGTTCCCAGGGAGTGAGGCAAGGTAACTCCCAAGTCACTCCTTGGGAACAGCCCTGCCACCGGGGAACCACGATAACCGTCTCTGGAGCTGCCCCCATGAGACAGACTACATTCCATCCCCACCTGGACTCTTGCCCACAGTCCAGTGGCCTGCCCCCACCCTGCCAGATGGCTCTGGCCTGGGGGCCCCACCTGCAGATGAGTGCACTGGCCTAGCACAAGCCACCCAAGGAACTGGCCCTCAACTACACTAGAGCTGATGGGGCCTTTGCATCCTGCAGGGCTGGGCCCTTGCCAGTGAAAGTTTTGCCTTCTGGGCAGAATTTCGCTCCTGCAGGTCTATAATACTCTGCTCAGGCAGGGGGCAGTCAGTATCTTCCCGTCTGCTCCATGGAGGCCCAGTGTGGCAGGGAGAGGCATCTGCTGGCCAGGTACACTGGACAGGGCAGATTGGTGAAGTGAGGCCAGAAGGGCACAGAAATGGTGCTGCTTAGAAGTGTGCCTTGGCCTGCAATGCCAGCTACTCAGGAGGCTGAGGCAGGAGCACTGCCAAGTTCAAATACAACCTGGCA